AAGTTGTCCTCTTTTGGAAGACCAAACAAAGTAGTTTCGCTTTTACAACGAAACACACAGCGTGTCCACAACATGGCGGCGGCGGCAACAATACTACAGCGAAACTAAAAGTTACGCCTTCTTTCTTTGCGTGAACATTTGGGCGGCGTTATGCAAATCTTCCCACATAGTGAGGTAGATATGTGGGGGCGTGTTAGAATGAGCCGTTTTAGGTAGGCGTGGTTGACTCTTAACTTTTATAAAGAATATCTCTTTGGATTTGAGACTTTCGTCTTTGCAACTTTACAGATCTTCTTTATGCACCAAGAGCTTGTAACACTCCAAAGAGAAAGGAAAAATTGAAATCGCATCATATGACCCCTTTAATGAAAAACAAGCTGCAAAAATATGTTGTTCATTTGCAGGAATCATCATGGTTTTGACATCACGGCCTCCTTGAGGACATTAGCATATGAATGCCCATGTTTCAACCATATGAAGTGTATTTAAAATTTTTTACAATTCTGTTTTATTTTATTCAATGTGTTTCATTTTGTTTTATATTTATTCTACTTTACAAAATTCAGTTTTTCCCCCCCTGATTTTGTTGTAAAGGATTAATTACATTTTAGTAATCAGAAAGCTTGTCTAATCAGTTGAATAAAAAAAAATGAACCATTTGTTTTTAATTGTTATAAAAATCCCTCTACAACACAATATTGCATTTTTTGGTCATATATTCAAGTTAAACCAAACTTTTATTTTGGTGTTTTACATAGACTGTAAAAAAAGATGGACGATTAGTCTCCACTAGTGTTGCTTTCGTCAACGAAAATTATGACTAAATATCGTCGTCAACGAACCTTTATTAAGTGACGAAAACGAGACGAGACGAAAATGCTGGTCATGTGACGATGACTATAATTAAATGTATAATGCAATATCGTTGACGAATAATCCTTCCACTATTGAAAAGTGAAGCCAAAACATCTCCGTATGGCTGCTGTCATCCTGCAAAAATGACGTCATTTAGAGCCTGAGGCTGCACAGTAGTGATTGTGAGGTGGAGCCATGGTATCAAACTCCCACAGACCCAATCGCAAGTTCACAATCATGACACCACACCCAGTTTTTATAGCAAATAACTAACTAAAACCAAACTTATTTGAAAAACGAACGCTTGAACATACGTTAGCTTGACAAGAACTACCTAAAATGATGGAAACCATCTTTGGGAAAAATTTATTTGAAGTGTAATTTGTTTATTTAGTTTGGCTCATATCCCATTCATTTACATGAAGAGGGTGGGGTTTATGACTGCAGCCAGCCACCAGATGGCGATCAAAATGTTTTAGCTTCACTTTTCAGGTCGTGTGTGGCACACATGGTGTTTTGTATTGAAGGCCCTTAAGGTTTTCATAAAATGTTTTACTTCTTTATTATCTAAACAAAGAAAGATGTAGACATACAATCAGCCATACAGCAGTGAGTAAAAAAAACAAAACAAAAATATAATATTCATGAGAACAGGGTAGTACAACATTGTAAATTGTGGAGGTTAGTCATTCATTAGACAGGTTTAACATATACAGTAGATGTCTATAAAGTCGCTGTTTGAATTAGTCTTGTATAATTTACAGGATTCGATGAGAGATTTCTTTCATATGTGAGCAAAAAATGCACAGTTGGAATATACTCAAATGAACTGGATCGAGCTTGTAAATGAGAATCAAATCTGTAAATCTGTATTGATACCCAGCCCTACTGTTTCAGGAATTACACATTTCATCTTTAAATGAACAGTAGCAAAAACAACCTGTTTTATTCCAAGGGTCAGAGAGGGGGTGAAAGATGGTCATAAATCTAAACTATGATTGTTTTTGGTGCAACAAATTTGGACTAAAATTATAAGTGGTCTTGAGGAAAATAAAATGTTGAATATGGCCCCTTTAAAGCGCTGCCTTAATTGTATTCTCTTAAACTGTAGTTTCATCATCTGATCTTTCTGTTCCATTCCAATTGTCATCCGACAATTATTTGATTTTTCCTCTGCTCTCACCCCACATTTTATATCCATCCATTCATACTCTTTTCTAACTTTAACCTTTGTCTTCTCCTTCAGTCCTTGTTTTCTCAAATTCTGTCTTTCTGGGTTTGTTCTCTCAGGCTCATCCTGCCCTGAAGGCCTTCATGTGCGGCTCTCTCAGCGGCACCTGCTCCACTCTGCTGTTCCAGCCGTTGGATCTGGTGAAGACCAGACTGCAGACCCTGCAGAACAACATGCACCCAGGGTAAGACGCCACCAACCGACATGCCTGCTGTGACCTTCACTGACCATGTCTAGACATGAGCCTGCCGTTAGGCTGCTGTCCTTCTGCCCTGATCTTTGTCTGGTATTAGATGTCAAGTCTTAGTTGGACTTGACTGACAGATAATAAACATGTCTTGCATAGTTAATATACATAATCATTTCTGTTGTTCTTCTGGCAAACTGCTAATTTAGCGTGTCATAGATTTAAAACAACTTTAATCCTTTCAAGGGAAGCAACATTATATCCCAGTTTTGCCCAGTACCGATTGCTAATAGTTAGTGGTGTTTGTTACAGCATGCTTAAAGTTAGTGATTTGAACAAATGTAGTTGGGATTTTTGTCAGTGGATGATAAAACCGATACAAATTCTGTAGACTAACATTAAAGGGATAGTTCACCCAAAAATTAAAATTACCCCATGATTTACTTATACCCTCAAACCATCCTAGGTGTACAGTATCTGACTTTCTTATTTCAGACAAATACAATCGGAGTTATATTAAAAAATGTCCTGGCTCTTCCAAGCTTTATGAGAACCATTGTTTTGTTTACAGGAGCAAAGGAGGCAAAGTTTCTTTGTTTAGCAAAGGAAAATCAGTGTCCTCTTGGCTTATATCAAAATCCTCCCGACTTTTTTATTTACAAATCCTCGTTTTATACTTTGCTCTCTCCTCTGCGCTTCTGCATTCATCACTTCTCACCGGAGCTTACACTTTTTTATGATGGATGGATGCTAGGGGTGGAACGGTTCAACTTACTCACGGTTCGGTTTGTATCACGTTTTAGAGTCACGGTTTCGGTATGGTTCGGTATGTGCTATGTTTAGGAAAAAACTATACTGTCAAATAAAAATGAGATGCGTGTTGAGTGTATGTGCCTGTGTTTATATAACCGCGTCCTCTCTGTATGCTGTGTGGGAGTGCTCAGTTATTAAACTGTCTGCCTCTCTCAGCTTCGCAGAGAATAACGTGTTACCCATGTCAAATTATGTGTCCTCATGCTCAGCATGCCATCTAAACTCAAAGATTTTTTGTCTCCTTCACCCTTCTTTATCTCTCTGTCCGTGTCCGTCATGACCTTTTCTATTTCTGTCTTTGTCTCTCAGTGCTCCTAAAGTGGGGATGATTACAGTCTTTTTCAACGTGATCCGCACAGAGAAGCTGCTTGGCCTGTGGAAGGGGGTTTCACCGGTGAGTCAAGTGTGTTGGCTGATGTGTCCATTTCCTTTGGTCCTCTCTCACTGTTTGATCTCACAACTGCATCAGTGTTGTGATCTCAGACATACTTTCAATTCTTCATTTAATTGCAACTGTAGACCACATATTTAATGTGGTACGAACAAAAATGAGTCCTGTGAGGAATATTATTACATATTGTATAGATTAAAAGTACACTTTTTTGACACCTGTTTTGTTTTTATTGGTGATGCACCGAAATGAAAATTCTGGGCTGAAACTGAAAAGTCAGGATGCACTTGGCTGAAAACTGAAATAAAAAATGAATGTTAATTAATAATCAATTAATTGGTCAAATTTATTTAATAACTCATATAAAAACTGAGTTGGGCAAACATTTAAATTGCACATAAGGCAGTTTTTGTCAACTTAAAAAAAAATTTTGATGTTTAAAAATAAACATTTTAAGGGTGACTGTAATAAAAACGTTTTCAAGGCAGATTTATTCAAACATATGTTACATAATGATGACAACCGGTTAAGTAAAAATATAATGAATATGCAATATAGTGCATATATTTAGCAAAATGCTTCTCTATAGAATTGTTTTTTTTTAGTTGACTCAAGTTTATGGACATTGAATTACATTCCTGAGGTAAATGTAGCATTGCCTGACATATTTTTTACAAGCTGTTTTCTTGGTTGAAACATTGGTTCAACAGTTACATGAGACAAGACGTATTTCAGTAAGATGTTTGTTTCAAAATACCTTCTGATGTTCATTCATGTTTATTTTGTGCTACAACTAGTAGTAACTAGTAGTACATCTCCATGCTGCCGCTTGAACTGAACTGGTTGACAAAATTTCAGTGCATCACTGTTTTTTTTTCTTTTTTTATATCAAATAGTTTCACTGTTCATCCGTCTCACTGTTTATCTCTCTTTGTCCCCTACAGTCGTTCATGCGCTGTATCCCTGGTGTAGGGATCTACTTCAGCACATTTTACTCGCTGAAGCAGCACTTCTTCCAGGATAGGTCTCCGAATGCTGGGGAGGCGGTGTTGCTTGGGGCGGGGGCTCGTTGTGTGGCAGGTGTGGCCATGCTGCCCATCACAGTCATTAAGACTCGTTTTGAAGTGAGTATTATTACTCAGCTCTGACACTGTATGCACATTGAAAATGCATGTTTTCTGCTGTATCTGTGTGTTTATTCACTGTTTTGCGTGTTTTATTTCAGAGTGGGCGGTACAATTACATAAGTGTAGCTGGTGCTCTTAGAAGTATGTGTCAGAACGAAGGTCCCAGGGCTCTTTACTCCGGGCTCACAGCGACTTTACTCCGAGACGCCCCGTTCTCTGGCATCTATGTCATGTTCTACAGCCAGGCCAAAAAGGCTTTGCCACAGGGTGAGCTTCTGATCAGCCATAATTGTGATGTAATCTGAGGATATGGCATTGTTTAATAATGTCTGCTCTCTTTCACTCGCTCAGAGATCAGCTCATCCTCCTTTGTCCCACTGGTTAATTTTGGCTGTGGTGTGGTGGCTGGTATTTTGGCCTCTCTAGCCACTCAGCCAGCAGACGTGATCAAAACCCACATGCAAGTGAGCCCAGCGTTGTATCCCAAGACCAGCGATGCTGTACGCCATGTTTATACTGTAAGCATCGTGGGATAAAACATATTTGTTGAACTTTAGTGAGCTTTGAAAATGTTTTAATACAAAATTCTAATTTTGTGTTTAAATTATTTTATTCATCAAAGAAACCTGAAAATGTGTATCACAGTGTCCACAAAAATTGTTGAAACAATTTTAAACATTAATAATAATAAGAAATGTTATTTAAGCAGCAAATCAGCATATTAGAATGATTTCTGAAGGACCATATGACGCTGAAGACTGGAGAATGATGCTGAAAATTCAGCTTTGCATCACAGGGATAAATTACATTTAAAAATATATTCAAATAGAAAACGGTTATTTTAAATTATATTTCACAATATTACTGATTTTACTGTATGTTTGATCAAATAAATGTAGACTTTATTAGCATAAATGACTTACTTTAAAAACATTAAAAATATATTTTGAACAGTAGTGTACCATATTTACTTACTTTATAAACATTTCTAGCCTTGTGCAGATTCTTGATATTTGTAAAGAAAATATTTGTTGTCATAATCTTAGCTCAATTTTTTAGGGGTGGGAGAAAAAATTGATTGTCCAATGCACCGTGATTCTGTCTTCAACGATTATGAATCTATTCTGAACATTTCAGAATTGACTCTGAGCTTGGTTTTTTCCAGCATATGACACGTGTGCGCACTAGAGACAATCGCGGCAGGCTTCATTGCACAGGATATGCAACGTGAATGTCTATGATGCCACGGTCTATGATGTCATCAGTAATAATCAAACAGCAATAATGCTGAGGAAAAAAGAAAAACCCATAACTATGATTGTCTGTAAACTTTCGGATACTTAAAGCACTCTCAGATACTGACAGTACTTTTTGTTTATCACTTTATATTTAGTTGGTTAGATTCTTAATTGTTTTGATTAATTATCCATTTGTAATTATTTAAAAAAGTTAGCCTGCTTATATAATTTAATAAAAATTCGATGAAAATGTAGCCATGTGCAGTCATATTGAAAATTGCGGATGCAATGCATTGTGATATCGAATTGAATCGAATCGTTGACATGATAATCCTAATCAAATCAAATCGTGAAACCAGTGAATTCACACCCCTACAATTTTTAAACAATATTTTCTCTACATAGAGTGACTGCTGTGGATGTAACTGGAAAGATAGTATTAACGCATAATATCATATCCTTTCATGTTTCCACTTTTCATTATCTAGTCAGATGCTCACAGATAAAAAGTCCCACCCAACATTTTTGTCTAAAATTTCTGTTTCAAACTTGACTATCACATTACAGAAGTTAAATGAATTCTGAATGTTGTTCTGTATTTTCTAAAAAAAATCAGTTTTATAAACCGAAAAGGTAGCTAGACGCACACTGAGTCCAATGAAGACTGAAGAAGTCTAGAAAACAATTTATTTTATAAATTGCATATTAGTTTGGCAATTTATATTCTTTGCTATACGCAATTTATAAAACAAATCATGTTTTTCTAGACCTCTTCAGTCTTCATTGGACTCTACCTTGGCCAGCTACCTTTTCTGTTCAAGTATTTCCTTGGCTCTATGCACCTGAAAGAAAAGCAACTTTTTGTCAATTTAGAGCGCAACAATTTCTTTTGATTTCTAAAAATCTGTTTTTAAACACATTTGGTGTACTTTATGTTTGGAGTTCATACTGTGTCAGTTTCTTAAGTCACATTTTTGTCAGAATGTTACAGAATTTTAATTCTTTTCTCTCTGATTTTAGAAACATGGCTTGAGCGGGTTCTTTCGAGGAGCAGTTCCTCGTTCTCTGAGGAGAACCCTCATGGCTGCCATGGCCTGGACTGTGTACGAGCAGCTGATGGCACGCATGGGACTGAAGTCCTAAAGACACCCGACGCACTTTATGTGTGGACTTCATTCTGTGTGTGTCCGTTACAGGAGTGTGTGCTTTTCAGACGATGGTGAAAAGATGGCGTTCTATTATCCTTGAAGGCTTGATAAAAAACAAAAGCATCTAGTGTTGGCTGAGGTACCGGTAATAGTAAGTTTGTGTGTGTGTGTGTGTGTGATTGTCTGTGTGTGTTAGCGTTTTCAGGTGCAGTGAGTCTTTACCCTGTGACACCTCTGACAGTGACATTCCTAAATTGCCACATTGTGAGTTTGTCTGCCTGCATATTGAGACAGGGGTCCACACTGAAGAATATCAATGAGAGATTGCTGAATCATGTGGCGTCAGCTCACAAGAAAACACTCCTTTCACAAGAAGAAAATCCCCCTTTTGGCAACTAACCTTAGAATACCACATGTCTCGGTGTCATTGAAAAGTGCCCACCTTTGCAGGGTTTTCAGAAATGCACGAATCCAAAGACTGAGATAGTTCCTAAGCCTAAATCCTTTTTAGTCGAGGATGAGGCTCTGAAGTCCTAAAGACACCCGACGCACTTTATGTGTGGACTTCATTCTGTGTGTGTCCGTTACAGGAGTGTGTGCTTTTCAGACGATGGTGAAAAGATGGCGTTCTATTATCCTTGAAGGCTTGATAAAAAACAAAAGCATCTAGTGTTGGCTGAGGTACCGGTAATAGTAAGTTTGTGTGTGTGTGTGTGTGTGATTGTCTGTGTGTGTTAGCGTTTTCAGGTGCAGTGAGTCTTTACCCTGTGACACCTCTGACAGTGACATTCCTAAATTGCCACATTGTGAGTTTGTCTGCCTGCATATTGAGACAGGGGTCCACACTGAAGAATATCAATGAGAGATTGCTGAATCATGTGGCGTCAGCTCACAAGAAAACACTCCTTTCACAAGAAGAAAATCCCCCTTTTGGCAACTAACCTTAGAATACCACATGTCTCGGTGTCATTGAAAAGTGCCCACCTTTGCAGGGTTTTCAGAAATGCACGAATCCAAAGACTGAGATAGTTCCTAAGCCTAAATCCTTTTTAGTCGAGGATGAGGCTTAGTGGGTGTCCAAGAGACTGGTGTTACAAAGACATGTTGACATGTTGAGAAAATGAAGCGTATGAGAACCATTAGGATTTTTGGCATTGTAACATTAATTTAATTCCTGTTAGGCACATTTTCTTCCCAAATTGTCATTACTTTAATGTGAATTTATTATATATATTATACTTAATATATATATACTTAATTTTAACACCATGGTAGTCTTTGTTGTCTTGCCATTAATGTTTTTTTTTTTAATCAGCAAATTACAGTAATTTGTAGTATAAAACCTTTGATAATAATGGGAGAAAAAAACTCAATGAAGGGATGCATTACAATAATGGGAATTTAGGGGAAATATACTTAATTGTCATGTAAATAATGTCACAATGCAAAAAATCTTTATGGATTTGAAATAGATTTAGATTTATTTAAGCCAAATATAATTTCTTTCTTTTGTATTGTTTTTTTCCTCTTGAAATTTTGGGGGTTAATATCATGTGGACATGATCATGTTCACCCCTTGTTCTCTCGGTTTTCTTGGTGATAGTACTTTACCATTTGCCACTGTATATACTTTGAGTGTTCGAACTGTATGTGCACTGGTTAGTGTCGATCCCAATAGGAATTAAAGGTTTTGATTGTACCACAGGAATCATTACCATATACGTCAAATGACTTTGGATATTTAAATTCAGGAATTTGTTACACTCAAGTAATAATTTAATTTAGTTTGCTAAATTCAATTCCATTAACAATTTGTTTTCAATTGTCTTGATTAAAATTAGATTGGCTTCTTCCTGACACAGCAAGATTATCTGCTGCAGAATGCAGTTCAGTTCCCATAGTATGATGTTTGGAAGACATTTGGAGCCTAGTGATACACTAGTTTTATATCAGTTAAGTGGGTTCATAAGTTTCGATCACTGCACACTACATGCATATAGTTTGTAAAAGCACTTTAAATTCAGTGAAAATGATTGCATTCAAACTGATTCTGGGTGGTGTGTGTGTGTTGATCACATGTTCCTATGTAAGCCATTGTGCTGTACTGTGGAGACACTCTTTTGCCTACACACAATCAGTATAGTCTCTTCAGCATTTCTTAATGCCATTATTGTTGATATTTTGTCTGTATGTGACAATATTTGCACATGCAAATGTCGCGCCTATTTTAATATGTGAATAAATCTGCCCTGTTTTATAAATGGTTGTGAACGGTTGTTTTATGCAGGTGGTTTTGTAACCATTTTTAGCATTTGTCACTGAGTTTTAACACCCTAGTGAAGATGGATAAAAATCAATAATGCTCTTTTTGTGCTTTTTGCTAGGGACAAAAACAGAAAACAATGGTCTAGTATACTGTTGGCGTGGCACAAAATGGTCTTGCTTTGCTGTTATTCTGTGCTCTGTTGGGTGCTGCTGATGGTACAAACCCTGACAGCCTGATGGCTCCAGACCGTGTAAAGGGGGTCAGGTATGAGGACACCTAGAGGGACAGAAGCACTGCAGTGACAAATCAAACGGGGAGCAGTAATTATAACACATCAGACCTCATCAGTCTCTTGTCAGCTTTTATTTATTTACCTAACTGCAAAATGACTCAAGCATAGTTATCAAAAAACCAGCTAGGCTCCCTAAGGAAATAATGATGATATCATAATAATGTCCAGCATGAACCAGAATGCAGACATTAGACTTGTGCTGCTATTTGATGGACGTTACATGGTCAAAATAAACAATATACAAGACAATGCATGACATGATGTAGTTTGCTTATTTAGAATATAATATTTCAAATTTTAGAGTTTATTTAATAATTTAGTTTTTCATTTTTATTGTTTATTTATTATGTATTTTTTGTTAACATTGCCTACTGGTACCAGTGTTAGTTTAATCGAGATACTATTATAGTTTTTTTTGTTTTTACATTTTCATTTTAGTATAAGTTTTAGTAATTCTTTTGTGTTTTCATCGGGTTTTTTTTTTCGTTTTTTTTTTTAGTTGTTTTAGTTTATCAAGCCACATTAAATGAAAATGGGGAATGTTGACTTGGCAAAATATCTTAAAGTTTTTTTGTATTATTTTAAGTTAATGTTTATTTATTTCAAGTAACAATATTGTATGTTTTTAGTTTTACTTAAAGGGGTCATATGCTGTTGCTAAAAAGAACATTATTTTGTGTATTTGGTGTAATGAAATGTGTTTATGCAGTTTAAGGTTAAAAAAAACACATTATTGTTTCTCCTCTATGCCCCGCCTTTCTGAAACGCGTCGATTTTTACAAAGCTCATCGGTCTGAAAAAGC